CATAATTTGTTCATCTAGTTGGTGTGCATTTGGAACTCTTTCCAGTTGGAGGAGGTTATGAATGAAACTTCCATAAATATCTGTATACAACCACTGTGTGAGTCAGTTTCCATCACTGTGACAAAACGCCTGAAGAAAACAAGTCAAAGGGGGAAAGGTTTATTTTGGCTCATAGTTTCAGAGATTTCAGTCCATAGTGAGCTGGCTCCATTGCTTTGGGTCTGAGGAGAGGCAGAACATCATAGTGGAAGGCACAGTGGAGGAAAGCAGATCACTTCATGGCAAACAGGGAGCAAAGAGAGAGAAAGAGAGAGGAAGGGGCCGGGGACAAGATATATCATTTCAGGGCACATGACCCCTAGTGACCTACTTTCTCCGACTAGGGCCCACCTCCTACGGTTTCCATCATTGCCCACAGTTGGTTCAATGATGGTTCATTGAACCCATCAATGGCGTGATCCTTTGGTGAGATCAGAGCCCTTGATCCAAACCAGAACATCTTCCTGCTGACAATAACTGGAGCTAAGAAAAAATACTCTAAGATCACGTCTCTGGATGTTTGGAGGCAGTTACAAGTCAGTGACGATGAGACAGTAACAAGTCTCGACGGGAACGTGGAGAAATCAAAACCCCTGGACATTGCTGGTGATCAGATAAGATGACGCAGGTGTTTTGGAAAACAGTTTGATATGTCTTCAAAATATTAGACAGTTCCCCTCTGACTCAGGGACTCCACTCCTAGGTGTGTACCTTAGGGAATTAATGCCATAGGTCCCCACAAAAGGTTGGTCATTCCTCTTCATAGTAGTGTTGTTCATGATAGCCAGAGTAGAAGCCATTCACAGGGCCACCAGCAGGTGTGTAGACCAACCAAACCTGGTGCGGTCACAGTGCCATATTCTGCATCCACAGGAAGGAGTGAAAGTCGGATGCACCTACAACCTCCATGAGCCGGAAACATGAAGCTAAATGAAAGGAGGCAGGAAGAAAAGGTTCTGTCGTATGTCTGATTCCACGTGTATGTAAAATCCAGGGGGCAAGTCGGAAGAGGTGTCAGAAAAAAAGACTCCTTAATGCATGATCAAAACTAGGGGTATCTGGGCAACAGTGGCGCACACCTGTCATCCTAGAGGCTCGGGAGGCTGAGGCAGAAGGATCACGAGTTCAAAGCCAGCCTCAGCCATGGCAAGGCGCTAAGCAACTTAGGGAGACCCTGTCTCTAAATCATACAAAATAGGGCTGGGGATGGGACTCAGAGGCTGAGTTCAATTCCCAGTACCCCCACTCCCCAAAAAATCTATGGGTAAATACAATAGGCTTTCCTTCTCCTCTTGAATTTTGTAAACTATGAAAATTGAAGCAAAATTGTCCCCCTGTCCGATGTGTAGTAAATGTGTGGGGAGGGAATGTTTAAGGTCGAGTTTCCAGGAGAACTGAGTCAGTTGACCTAAGCGTCCCATCTGCCAACCTCACCACACTGGTGACCAAGCTCCCAGCACATGACCCTGCGGGGACACACTTAAACTGCCTACCACCCACAGGACTAGTGTCCACCCATATCTTAAGCCCCCAGATGGACGGGGGCTTAAGATCTTTCTGTCCCATCACAATTTGTATCGGACACGGATGATTCTTTCCTACTTTCATCATTTTCTGCGCTCCCACTCCTTCCTGCCTCTCAGGCTGGCCGTCTGGGATCTTTTTGCATCTTTTTGAAGTTTCTTTGGATCGTTTTCCGCTTTTATTTACCTGCAAATGTTAAAAGAAACGGATCTCTGTCCTTTGGTCTCTGTTCTTGAAAGGGTCCTTGGCAGGACGTCACTCTAAGCCGGCGTTTGCTGGGTCTCATCCCTTTGGAGATGTGATGCCCGCCTCCGCATCTCTGTCGAGCTGTTGGGAAGGCGCCTGGCGCTCGTCTGTCCCCGTCGCAGACAACCTGTCGTTTCTCGGAGACGGCCTTCATCCCTCCTCCGCCTTTGGCATCCGTGGTTTCAATGAAACGCAGGCGCAGGATGGATTGCTGCGTGTTATGCTTGGGGTACTGTGTATTTCCTGGCTCTGTGGCTCTGTTTTCCAACACTCCTAGAAAATGTGCTGCCATTTTATCTTCAAATGCTACCTCTTGGTTATTCCCTTTATTCTCTTCTTCTGAGACTCCGACAGAGAAGGTCTCCTCATCCTCAAGGTTGCTCTCAGCCTCTCTTGGCATTACCCACCTTCCTATCTCTCTTGTGGCATTTTTTATCAATGACTTCCGGCTCACCGATTCTCCATTCAACTGTTATTGCTGTTTGAATTTTAGATTTTGAAATTATGGTTTTCATTTCTAGAATTCCATTCCCCCCCCCAAACCTCTCTCTTCATTCCTCCTTGTTTTCTATGTTCATCTTTAAAATTCCATCTTTTCTTCTCTCCCCACCCCTTTCTACAGTCCCGGGTGTTGAACCCAGAGCCTCACACATGCTAGGCCAGCAGTCTGTCCCTGAGCTACACCCCAGCCCATTTCCCTTTTCTCACTTTGATTTTGAGACAGGTTCTCACTCAGTAGCCCAGGTTGGCCTCCAACTTGAGATCCTCCTACCTCAGCCTCCTGAGTAGCTGGGATTGCAGGCAGGCACCACCGCACCCAGCTTCTTTTATCTCTTCAGCCGTCTCCCGTGTGGCTGCTCACTGCTCTGTTGCTGGGTCCGACTCTGTTGCTCCTTTTGTCCCTGCTGACTCTCACTCATGGTGGCTTATCTTCTTGTGATTCGGAAAGTCGCCCGTTGCTTGATCTCACTCTCTGGGCATCCTCTTGGCCTATCCTAACCGAATTCCCCTCCACTTTGAATTTGCTTCTAGGACACCCCAACCCAGGACCGCGCCTGGGTTTGATCTCCCCTGAAAGCGGCTCCCCCGACCCTTCTTCCCCCCACCCCCAGCTCTCCCAAAGTTCACTATCAGCACGTGGAAAAATTGCTGCAAGGACTCCGGCCTTGGGCCAGCTCACTGAGCCTCTCCTGCACCCCCAGATCCAGCACCCCTCCATTTGCTCCTCAGTATCCCTCTGCCAAAGCTGGCTTCCTGTGTTCCTTGGAGCCCCGCCCATGTTCCCACCTGTCAGATCTTTTATGGAAGTGTTAAATGGTCTCTGGTGGCGCCCACACACGCTAGAATGTGGCGACTGGTTATTTATACATCCCTAGCAACCAGCGCAGCGCCCAAAATAAAAGCGTGTAACCATTATGCGGCGGCTGAATGAGCAAATGGGACCGCACCTGTCTCCACTGTGCTCTCCGTCTGACACCGAGACAGACAGGGACAGTTGTCACACAGGGAGACAACTTCTGTCACAGAGGAGGGACGTCGGGAGGCAACTCTACTGCAGATTTGGAGGTCAGTCTGGAGGGCACAGGGATGTGCAGAGCTGAGACTTTAAGGACATGTCACCGTGGCGCCCCAGTGAAGGCTGAGGGAGAGCATTCGGCCCCAGGCCGGCCCCCCAGGAGAAGGCAGCAGTCCAGGGAACCAACAGCAGCGTCAGTGTGGCAGGATCCAGGGGGTGAGGAAAGCAGGAGGGAGGTGGGCTCCAGGCTGGGCACAGGCAGGACCTGGGGCCATCAAGCTCCCAAGGACAGTCTGGCAGTGACGGGGAGGGTGTGGCAGGACATCTTTCAGCAGGGGAGGGGCATGGTCAGGCTGCAGGGTGGAAAATGCCCTCTGGCTACTGGGTAAAGCTTGAACTGGGAACAAGGAGTCAGGGAGGCCCATGAAGAGGCTGGTTCCGAGCAGGGCTGATTGCTGGGGTGGGGGCACCCCAACGCAGAACCCCTGGGATTCCTGGTGATGGCCTGGGCTGACCATAGACACACGGAAACCGCGAGTTGAGTGGGCTGCGTGTGAGGGGCTCTCTGTGGGGCCGAGGGGCTGCCCGGGGGATGGATCTGAAGGGTAAGGAGTCCGCGCCATGGATCTCCGAGCAGTGCTCTTTTCAACTAGGGTTGCCAGTTTTAGCAAAAATTAAAAATAGATATATAGGGCACACAGCTAAATTTGAATTTCAGATAGACTGTGACTATCGCAGAGTCAGTGTGTCTCCAGAATCACGTCCCTGTAACTTACCCGGGAGCCCCACTCTCAACACCCGCCACGCGTCTTCCTGAGACACCAGTAACAAAGCAACACAGAAACGTGCGGCCTCCGCCTGCTGTCCTTCACCCGCTGCCTCTTCGGAGGCCCTGGCCCTGAACAGGGGCCTCCCTCCAGCCTCCACCATCTTCCCGCCCGGCGGGGCTGGGAGTGAGGGCGGGGGGGCACTACAGTCTCCTCAGCTCCTGTCCCCACACCCCACTGGGGTATTTCCAGGAAGCGGTCCCTGCCCAGAGCCTAGACCCCAACACGGCTCAAGGCCACCAGCTTGGGACCACTTCCTGCAACCTCCAAACCCCCCAGGGTTACCAGGGCCACATGCTCAGGTAGGTCTAGGCTCGCTGGGCTCTGAGAGGCCAGGCTCTGGGCTGGGGGGTGCCGCCTTCCACAGGCCCAATTCACAGAGCTGTCCATCCAGCCACGGCCCAGGTCACCTCTGCCTGGAGCTGCCCACATTCCCATGATCCCCCAGCACCCACGTCAGCAGGGGACCCGCGAGGCCTGGAGGACCTGCTAGGGTGTGCGGCAGGGCCAGGGGCCCCAGCGAGCTCTGACGGGGACTTCCATCACCCTGACGAGGGGAGGCTGCTCTGCCTGGGTTCAGAGCAGGAGAGGCAACCAGGGTTGTCGTAGAAGACGTGATAAATGAGCCACCAGAGGATTGGGGGATTGAGGACGTGGGGGGACAGGGTGGCAGCCGAGGGGCAGCACTAGCAGTGAGTATTCCTAGAACAGGAGCCAGAAAGGCTGGGGCAGAGGCCCCGAGGGGAAGGGAGGGTGGAGGTGCCTGAGGAGGGGCCGAGAGGCTGGGAGACCTGGGCCTGCGGCTCAGCCGACACCCGTAACACCAACAACCCAACTAGAGCCAGCAGTGCCTCCCTGAGGACAGAGCCTCTTTATAGGGACTCTTTTGCTGAATCTCCAGAGTAGGTCCCCCCATTGTCCCTATTGTACAGAGGGGGAAAGGAAGGCCCAGTCTGAGTGACTTGTCCACAGTCTCAGCTAGGAGCGGCCCTGGGCCCGCACCACTCGCCAGCTAGCGAGGAGCTGTTCGCATCCAGAGATGTGCAGAGGGGAAGAGGAGCCCCTGGGAGAACAAGGACCCTGCTCCAGTTCCCTGGCTCAAGGTCATGAAGTCTGTCGATGGCCTGGGGCAGAGCCCTAAGAGTCCATCTGGGCCAGCTGTTCTAGTGCCAGAGATCCTGGGGCACAAGCCCCCCAAAGTGACCTCGCACAGCTGCCCTGGGATCTCCTCCTGCAGTCACTCCACAGGCACAGTCCTGGAGGGACCCATCTCTCCAGCGGGCACATGGGGTCCACAGGTGATGGCTGCGTTTCCAGGGGCAGCCTTGGCGCCAATGCCTTGGTTCACAGGCCAAGAGCGCCGCCTGGTGTCTATCTCAGGAAAAGCACCGGCTTCAAGAGTGTTGTCTCCTACCTGACAGATGGGTCTAAGGCAGAGGTCATTCTAGGCCACAAGGCCACCAGAGCTTGGAATTTAGAACCCACACCCTCATGCCCACCAGGGGAGACTCAGTCTTCCCCTGACATCTAACTCAGCAGGCTCAACCAACTGGAGGGAGAAGCTTCCCCGCTCCAAAGCCAGGGAGGGCCTGTGGCCTTGGTGGCTGATCTGAAGGGACTGTGGGGGTCTTGGAAGCACGGGAGGAGGATGCTCTGGAGAGGACTGGACCGCCCCATCTTTGGGAAGGATGGGCTCTGAGTTGGATGTTATCATTTGGGGGGTGAAAGGAAAAGTGGCCTTCCTTGGGCGTAGGCTGGTGAGGGCTGGGGTGGGGCTCTGGGTGCTGGCAGGGGCCGCGGGTCAGGTGAGCCCGATCCTCCTCAGCAGGAAGGTAGGGACCCACTCCAGAAGGCAGGGGGAGGCCACAGCGGGAGGTCAGGAGGGAATGCCACCCGCACTGACATTCTTCTCCCCTGGTGTTCAGTCTTCACACAGCTCCCGGTCAGCCACTTGTCCCCACGTCACAGATATGGAAACCGAGGGTCCATGATAGGCCCAAGATCACTCGGCAAGACTCAGAGCCAGGCCTGGGAACGTGGCCTCCTGGCTCCCAGGCCCGAGCTCTGACGACAGGCCCGGCCAGCTGGGCGGACCCCAGCCCACGCTGCCCTCTGTGCCTGGGGAGGCGGTGGAGGTAGCAAGGCCCAGGAGGCACCAGGGCCTCAGTGTCCTGCAGCAGGCCTGCCACCTTCTCTGGTAGGAGCCAGGGCCTTGGGCTGCAGGCGGTGCTGGGTCACTGTGTCATCTGGGAGGAGCTGAAGGCCTCCATCTCTGCCTTGGCCTCCGCCTTCGAGTGGCACCTCTGGAAGAACAACCACAGGAAGAGGAAGAAACCTGCAAGAAAGGACCGGTCAGTGGGCATCACTGAGAGCAGGAGCCTCGCCAGGAGCCCAGGGACCCCGAGCCGGGCTGAGCGGGGCCTCCCTGGGCCCAGGAGTATTTCCCAGAGCTCCTCCTCTTGGAGGACAGAAGGAGTGGCCTCTAGGAGCCAGAGGACTGGCCCCGCTGGCCCAGAGGGCACTTCCGTGCAGGCGAGGCTGCCCCCCACTCGGCAATGACGCAGCGCCCCTGGTCCTCTCGCCCTCGACCTCCCAACTGCTGTGAGCAACCCACAGGCCTCCTGCCCCCCCCCCCAGGCCCACCGTAGAGCGAGTTGACGATGGTGAAGAGGAAGAGCTGGGGCAGCAGGAAGATGCCAAAGGAGAAGAAAGCCAAGGACCAGGTGGTGCCCAGCAGCACGGTGAGGCCCAGCACGGTGACAGCGTCCCTGCAGGCCCGGCCACTCAGCGCCCTGTTCTGTGCCCACAGCCTGCGCAGGGCCCACAGCGCCCAGGCCAGCACCGCCAGGTTGAACAGGGAGGTGACGCCGCTGTAGCCCATGACCAGGACCTGATGCACCACGGGGCTGCACAGCCAGCACCTGCAGGGGACAGCAAAGCACCGGGTCAGCGCAGCTCCGAGCCCAGGGAGGCCAGCTGCCTCTGGATGCCATCTCGACTTGCAGCCCAGACGACCGTTTCCTTCTTTTCTCTCTTTCCCCTCCCTACCTCCCCCCTCCCTCCTTCCTCCCTCCCTCCCTCTATTTCCTCTCTCTCCCCCCGACCCTGGCCCTAGGTCCCCCGAGCCCTTCCTGTCTTTCCTGGCCAGAGGTGCCGCCTCTTACCCAACCTGAGCGCTGTGCGGCTGCCTGGCGTGGACGGTGCCGCGCGGTTCTCATGACCCACACGCGGGCACTAACCCTTCCCACCCTGAGGATGAGGAAACTGAGGCTCCAGCTCAGGAACCTCCAGTCCTGCTGGAGTCCGACCCACACACTAGTCAGGGGCAGAGGTGGGACTTGAAGCCCCTTGGTCTGAGCCCAGACCCTGTGCCCTTGTCATGGTCACCTGCTCAGGGACCCCAGGGACTCCTGCTGCTGCAGCCACTGTCCTGTGAACAGCGCTGGGGTTCATCTCACTGCTAGGCGATGCACTAGCAGCAACAGCCCCTTCACCCTCTTAATCCTGTCAGCGGATATTTGGGTCGTGTTCCAGGGTTGCGTGAGGAATGCGTGGGTATTAACGACGACGGTTAAGAGGCGAAAGAGGGTCACAAAAGCCAGAGTTATGGCTTCCTGAGGCAGAGGGAGGGGTGGGAAAAACACAGGGAAGCTAGTGCCTCGCCTAGGGTCCCTAACGTCCCTGTCATGTGTCACTTCAACTCTTCTGTCCATATCACACAGTATATAAGAAAACACATCTTTGACGAGGGTGAGTCACACCTCCTTGGAGACACAACCCGACCTCCAGAGAGAAAGTGGCCCCGTGGTCGGGGCTCACTGGCTGCAACTGGGTCCAGCTCTGCCACTGACTGCCTGGGTCTCCTTGGGCAAGTTCCAGGGCTTCTGTGCCTCACTGTCCTAACTACACAGCAGGCTTGACGTCGCAGGTTCCAGGAGGAGGCAGCAGACTGTCCCCAGGCCCCCAAGGGCCTTGCCTCCTATCAAGCCCCAAGGACACTGAGCCCCATCCCTGCACTGCCCTCCCCCAGGTCTACCCACTCTCTTCTCAGGCCAGGGGGGTCTGTGGGGCCTGGCAAGGTCGTGCCCTGGAGCAGGTCAGGAGGAGCCGGAATTGGATTAGTGAAGCACGGGGCTGAGCAGGATGGTCAGGGGCAGGCTGTGCTGGAAAGTCTCCTGGGAGCTGCAGGCCAAGGCTGGGCCCCACAGGCAGGCTCCACTGCCGGCCTGGGGGGCTAAGCGGGCACTGCCCTCTGACCCACGGCTTCCTGGCGTCAGCTGGTGCAGCTGCCCTGCAGGAGACTGCCACATCCGGGAGGAGGAGTGTGGCGCCCCCCCTCATCCCCATCTGAGCTCCTCCTCGCCCTCCAGCCAGGCCTGACCTGCAGGACACCCGTCTAGAGCCCCAGGCCCACGGGGCGTTCTGCCAGCGCCGGGCACTCACATGGACGTGTTCCCGATGATCGTGCCATTTTCCAGGCTCCTGGAGATGGGAATCACACGGGGCCCGTACACGGAGCTCTCGATGGTGAGGAGCAGCAGCACCAGGAGGGCAGGGACCCCTGAGGGAGGGACAAAGGCTCAGGAGGCCCCAAAGGGCTGACCCTCATCTCTGGGTCTGCTAACAGGGAACCCCACTGGGCAGGGGAGGGGAGGGGCCGCGCTGAGCTCCAGCCTCTGAGCACTGAGCCTGCGCTCTCGGAAGAGGCTCTTCATTAGTGACGGCTCTAGGACAGAACAGGAGGGGCAGTAGAGGGGACCACCCAGGGAAGATGGGGTGAGGAGCAAATGGGAGAGAGGGGTGAGGAAGTAGACATAACTGAAAAAGGGGGAAGGTGGTAATGGAGGCACCGATGATGGAAGCGACAGTGGTGAGGATGAGGATGATGGTGACGATGGAGATGATGGTGGGAGGTAGTGGAAACGGTGGGGCAGGGGATGGTGGTGATGGAGGTGGAGGTGGTGATGGTGGTGGGAGCAAGGGAGGGATGGAGGTGAGAGTATGGAGCTGATGGTGGTGAATGGTGAACTGGAAGTGGAGGTGGAGGTGATGATGGTAGTGGGAGGAAGTAATGGGGTTGATGGTGGGATTGGAGGTGGGCGATGGAGCTGATGGAGGTGGTGATGTGGTGGTAGTAGTAATGGTGGCCAGAGGTAGAGGTGGTGATGGTGGTGATGGTGGTGCTGGAGGTGGAGGTGGTACAGCTAATGGTGGTGGAGAAGGTAGTGGAGATGGTGGTGATGATGGTGGTGATGATGGTGGTGATGGAGGTGGAGCTGGAGGTGGTGATGTGGTGGTAGTAATGGTGGTTGGAGGTAGAGGTGGTGAGGGTGGTGGTGGAGGTGATGGTGATGGTGTTAGTGGACGTTGTAGAGCTGATGGTGATGGTGATGGTAGAGATGGTGGTGGAGGTGATGATGGTGATGGAGGTGGAGCTGTGGTGGTAGTTATGGTGGGCTGGAGGGGAGTTGGTGGGGCTGACAGTGGTGGTGATGGTGGTGGTGGAGGTAATGATGGTGGTGTTGGAGGTGGAGGTGGTAGAGCTAATGGTGATGCTGATGGTGATGGTGATGGTGGAGGTAGAGGTGGTGATGGTGGTGTTGGAGGTGGAGGTGGTAGAGCTGATGGTGATGGTGATGGTGGAGATGGTGGTGGTGATGTGGTGGTAGTTATGGTGGGCTGGAGGGGGGTTGGTGGGGCTGATGGTGGTGGTGGAGGTGATGGTGATGGTGTTGGAGGTGGAAGTGGAGGTGGTGATTGTGGAGCTGGAGGTGATGTGGTGGTGGTAGTAATGATGGTTGAAGTGGAGTTGATGGGGGGTGATGGTGGTGGTGATGGTGGTGATGGTGGTGTTGGAAGTGATGATGGTGATGGTGATGGAAACAGAGGTGGTGATGGTGATGGTAATGGTGATTGGAGAGGGTTTGGAGCTGATGGTCGTGGTGATGGTGTGTTGGAGGTGAAGCTGGAGGTGGTGATGTGGTGGTAGTAGTAATGGTGGGTTGAAGGTGGAGGTGACAGTGCTGATGGAGATGATACTGGTGGAGCTGGAGGAGGTGATGTGGAGGTAGTAATGGTGGTTAGAGGAGTTGGTGGGGCTGACGGTGGAGGTGGAGGTGCAGATGGTGATGAGATAGCGGTGCACTGTGTGTGTTGACAGAGACACTGGGGTGGCAGAGCGGCCACTTGGGCCGGCTGACCCCTAAGTGGGCAGGCCAGCTCACCCCAGCCCAGGGCGCCCAGCTTGAGCGCGTATCTGCGGATGTAGACGTTGTAGACGCGCCCGAGGAGAAGGTAGAGGTTGAAGCCCTCGATGGCCGTCCAGGTTTGGCAGCTGAGCAGCGCGAAGTGGAGCGTGGCCGCCAGGGCAGAGCACGCGGGCCCAGGCACCGGGGCCACGGCCGCCGTGGCGCTCAGAAGGAAGGCCACGTTCAGGAGCAGCACGGAGCCCTGCAGGTTCATGTGGATGTGCGTGACGGCGTCACTCGGCTTCCTGGGGTGGGAGCACGGGCCGGATGTCACCAGGCAGCGCCACCCGCTGGGCACAGTGATGCCACTGTGTGTGCTGTGACCCCTGCCTCCTGGCCCCGCCCTAGGAGACCGGGTGGGGACCAGGAGGAAGCCGAGCAGACGGGGACGGGCTGGACGCGGAGGCAGGGGCATACCTGACATAGAGGTGCAGCACGATGGTGAGCAGCGAGGCCACCACGGAGATGCTGCAGCCCACAAGGGACACGTACTCAAGGGGGGCCTGCAGCTCCTCGGGGAGCGGGGCCGGCGAGAGTTGCTGCGGGAGGGAGGGGGCTGGAGCCTGGGCGTGGACATGCCCTTCCCCGGCCCTTGACGGAGGGTCCCTTCCCTGCAAGCCCAGCCACCCTGGCAGATGTAGTGACTTTCCCCCAGAAACTCCCATCCCCCCCCCATGCAAATGCCCCTCCCCCATTCTCTGTGCCCCTGTGGGAAGGGGCCCCACTTCTCCCACCCCATGTGTGGACGGGCTACCAGGCCTGGCCTATCGAGCCTTCCTCCTCCTGCCCATAGCAATTGGCTCAAGGGATGAGCACATGATACACATCAAGCCACAGGATTCAGTCCCAAGACTAGTTGGCAGAATTGGGTAAGAAAGGCTTTTATTCCACTGGCCTGAAAGCTCCCAGGGCATGAGCCAGGAATTGCTGGCAGCCATATTATCCAGTGGGGAGACCCTGTTGGAGGGCCAAGCCAGGACGGATCAAACACAGTTGAAGAACAGAGAGAGAATCCTGTCTCAGTGCTATTCAGTTCCTGGACCAAGCCATGCCTGAAGCCTCCATAGCCCAACCTTTTCAGGAACATGAGCCCCTAAGTTTCTTTGTGTGTGTGTGTGTGGTTTAAGCCCACTTGAGTTGGATTTTCTTTCCCTTATACCAGCTTTTGCCTTGCCCCTCTGCCAGGGGCATGGAGCCCTGTGTGGCTCTGACTCCCTCGCCCAGCCTGGATGCACACGTACCATGAGAACAGCAAAGTAGGTGAGGTGGTTGCAGTGGCAGAGCACCTGGGAGGGGGAGGGCTGCTCTGTGCGGCAGCCCTCGGGGCTCCAGGCCCCCCAGTGGTGCTTGCTGGCTCCCTTCTTCCAGAAGACACAGGTCAACGTGTAGCCTTCCTGAGGGGAGATGCTGGGTCAGTCCCAGGGGAGCAGCGAGGGGCCAGACTTCAGGGGTCTGAGCGTCCCGGGGGCAAAGCAGGCTCCGCTGCCTCCCTCCAACATGTACGGGGCACGGGCTGAGCTTGGGCATGGGACAGTCCCAGATGCCGACCACACGCCCACCAGGGACTCTCAGAGGGACCTGGGCAAGACGCTAGGCTTCTCTGAGCCTCAGTCTGCTTGTCTGCAAAATAGGGTCGTTCATGCCCAGGTTACGAGGCTGGTGCAAAATGAAAGTCTGCGGGGCCTCCTGAGGCCCAGCTCTGGCCTCTGGCATGGCCAGTGGTCCCCTATCTCCCACTGGTGAGGGCTACAGATGACCCAGACCCAGGCCCAGAGTGGGAGAGACTCATTCCAGCCACACTGGGCAGTGCCTTGGAGACCGCAGAGGAAGGGCCAGAGGAGGGGCACCGAGGCCTCCAGCCCGATTTCCACGACACTGGAGGTAGGGCGTTTGCTCCAGGGGGAGGGAACTGCCCTGAGCAGGGAAGGAAGGTCCAGGGCACTTCTGGTGAAGCCGCAGGGACATGGAGCCAGAGGACAGGGCTCCGAGCTTTTCAGCAAGGACAGGGACAGGGAAACAGGGCACTGGGCTGTGTCCACCTGGCAGCCTTTCCCCCTATTCCACTACGAGGGTTTTCACTCCTCCACCCCACGTGACCCAGGTGGGGCCAATCCACACGTTCCATCCCCCTGGGCACAGAGACTGGTTCAGGGATGGACACATGACCCAGCTGAACCTTTAGGACCCTGGATCCTGATTTGCACTGGTAAGGTAGACCCTCTGGAAAGAGGGAAAGGAAGCCCGCCTGATTAGCACCCGTCTTGCCAAGGCAGGAAACAATTGCTGAGAGATGGAGAGAGACTGACCCATAAGAGTACTGTGTCAGTCCCTGGATCCAGCCATGTCTGAAGGTGGATCACCCCTGGACATGTCATTGACGTGAGCCAAGAATTCCCTTTTGTGCTTAAGCGGGCTTGAGGTGGTCTTCTATCATTAGCAACAGAAAGAATCCTGAAGAATGCAATGAGTGAAAGTTTCTCATCTCCTTAGTAGGAATTTTCAGAATGTGACGGTTCCTCAGGTTTGAGTTTGGTCAAACCAGTGTTCAACAGGAGACCCACAGAGGGGCAGGGGTGGGGTGGAAAGGGGGGTACTCCAACAGTACCAAGCTCTGGTTGTGCCAGAAGCTGATGTTGACTGGCTCGGTGAGGTTGTCCACGTGGCTGTGGTCCAGCTGGGCCCCCAGGACGTAGTTGTTGAGCAGGGATGAGTTGCTTTCATCCTGGAAGGGCAGCGGACAGACCAAGGGCTGAGGGCCCAGGGGAGACCAGAGCCCTCTTTCCCAGCCCCTCCTCCCACCACCTGGGGCTATCCTCTCACCCACCACCAGGGGGCGCGCTGCCCATTTGTTTAACGCATTCCACCCTCCAGCCCTCACCTCACACCTATCCTCAATTTCAAAGACAAGGTTGAGTGGCACCTTCTCTAGATTCCCCTGGCACTGTCCCTTGGGAAAACTTTGCCTCCACCTTCATTCATCCGTCATTTTGTGGTTGTCATCAACCTCACGCTAACATTGAATCACTAAGATCTTTTTTTTTTTTTGCAGGGTGGGTGGGGGGTACGCGGGATTGAACTCAGGGGCACTTGACCACTGAGCCACATCGCAGCCCTATTTTGTATTTAGAGACAGGGTCTCACTGAGTTGCTAAACACCTCGCTTTGGCTGAGGCTGGTTTTCACTCGCCATCCTCCTGCCTCAGCCTCCTTGGCCGCTGGGATTACAAGTGTGCACCACTGCACCCAACAAATCCCCAAAGTTCAGGTGTGGAGACAGGGTTCTCGAGGGCAGGGACCTTGTGCCTCGGTGTCTGTCTCTCACACAGGCGCACACCTACGAGCCTGCTTAGGTTTAATTTGCAGATTGTGAGGGCACCTCCCTACAGCTTGTTGGGAAACTGAGGCCCAGTAAGGGCCAATGGCAGGCCAAGGTTGCACTGTGGGCTGGTCCCCACTCAGAGGCCAGGAGTGGCCTGCAGTGTCCCCAGAAAGGGGCTGGCACCTGCCCTCCTCCACCCACCACCTGCTGACCTGGAAAAAGTAGGTGGTGAAGAAGTAGACGCAGATGAGCCGCAGCTCCCGGGGCCGGGCAGCGCAGGCCTCTCGGGTCAGCTCTGCAGGGAACTGCATGGCGTGCGGGACCCGGGCCTGCGGAGGGCCACAGACAGGCTGAGCCCGGTGTCCAGGGCCTGCGGGCAGGCCTGGCCCCAGTGCCTTTGCTGTCCCCACTCCCCACCAAACCTTCCGGGCCTCATCCTCTGCAGTTCCTTTCCGGGGCCTCCATTGGCAAAGCTCGGACTGCCCCTCACCCGGCCCCAGGGCCCAGCGTCCATCAGGGGCTCCAGCCTCGAGCTTGGGTTCTGGACCCCACCCAACTGAGGTCCCTGAGCATGGAGCCAGGTCAGCACCGTACCAACCAGGCATCCAGCCAGGATCACACAGGTACTAGCGGAGCCAGGTTCCCTGGCCTCTCCCAACGCTGCTACCCGAGGGACACACCTCCATCTGGCTCGGGCAAAGGGGGACGAAGACACCGTCCTTCAGGGGCCATGGGCGCCTCCCCTCCTGCTGTGCCCACGCTCCCAGTTTACAGAGGAGGCAGCTTCAGCCACTCGGGGCGGCGCCTGGGCTGGGGCCAGGCAGCGGAGCCTGGGGACAGTGCGGACCTTCAACTCCCACAGGACTTCGGGCCACCCCTTCTCCCGGCCACCTCTGACCTGCGAGACCTGCTCCAGAGTGTGGCTGCTCAGTGCAAGGCCAGCAAAGTCGCAGCCCAGCTTGAAGATCAGAGACTGGATGGTGCGCGTCTCCAGGGTCAGGTTGTCGCCGTAGAAGCTGGCGTTCAGCAGCCTCTGCTCCAGGCCCTCCACCTGCCTGAGGGCCCGACACGCGGCCAGGGGGCAAAAGAGAGCTGTGGGTGGCCTGCGAGTGCAGGGTCTCCCGTGCCCCAGCCTGTCACTCCCACTCCAGACCATTGCAGTGTCCCTGTCACACCCTGACCTTGGCTTTCCACCCATCTCCTTCTCCTACTTGACTCCTCTTCAGGTCCCAGTTTGTTGTCACCACCTCCAGGAAGCCTTCCCTGACTGCTCCCCCTAATGAGAGATGTATCTCTGTGCTTCCTAGTGGCAGCTCTTAGCCCTTGTCAGTCACCAGCATTGACCTCTCACCCAGAGCTGCTTGGTCACTGAGTCACAGACCATGGAGGCTCCAGCCACAGTCCTAGAGTCCCTGCCTAGGAAAAGGCAGAGACCCACTTGGTTTTATGACATCTATGGTTAAGGGCTCCTGTCCTAGACAAAACACTCCAGGAGGGCAGGGACATGTCTCTTTTCCATCTCCAGAACCTAGCATCAGGCACACAGTGGTTTCTCGATAAACACAACCTGACAAATGCAGTTAAGAGTCTACCCTGGGCTGGCACCGCGGTGCAGGCCTATAATTCCAGCAACTCAGGAGGCTGAGGCAGGAGGATTGCAAATTTAAGGCTAGTCACAGCAACTTGGCAAGGCCCTGTCTCGATGTTGCTCGGTGATACAGGACTTGCCTAGCTTGTGCAAGGCCCCGGATTCAACACTCAGCACCACAAGAAAAGAAAGAAGGAGAGAGTCCGTACTGGACCAGGCCTGGGCACTAATTCGAGGTACAGTTGGGGCAGGAGCACAGTTGACCGAGAGGTTCAGCTGGACACCACTCACCGAGCAGGAGAAGTCAGCTTCCGGCCCTTGGCCTGCTCCATGTTCCGCATCCAGCTCAGGAGTTCTTGCTCTGTCTCTATGGGGGGCAAGACCATCCTCCCCCTCAGCCTGCACCCTCAGCTGCCCCCTGGCCCACGGCCTCTGGACCTCACATCCCCAGCCAGAGACTCACCCAAGCTGCTGCCCCCAAGAGGACGAGTGGCCCCCTTTCCATCTGCCTGGGTTCGAGCCCTCGGCCTTCCACAGCACAGCCCTGGGCCTTGATGGGGTCTGACCCGGCCAGCGGAGCCTTCTTACCTGAGATCCTGCCCTGAGAAATCAGAAAGCACAGGCAGACGAAAAGGGTCCTGCAGCCATCCATGCCCTGTGGCCAGGTCTCTCCAAAAGTAGCTCCTGCCCTGGAAAACATGCACATACCACCATCAATGTGGTAAAAGAGACACCTCTGACTTCTTCCAGGAGCCTGGCATGTCCCGGGGTTGGGACCTGCAGCATCTTCTTAGCTCCTCACTATGCCTGCGTTTCAGATGAGGAGGCTGAGGCTGGGAGGGCGGGGTCTCGCTTTGCTTGAAGGTGCCTGAAGCAGGGTCTCTGTGACTCCAGAATGTTTGATCACTGGGTAACAGCTGCCATCCACAGCTCCGCCTAAGACACCCCTCCCATAAAGTGGACTCTCTGGGGACTCCATAGAGCCCCCCACCTCATCCAGGGGGAACTGGGAACAAGCAACATCTAAGTCAGTCCCTCCCTGACATTAACTTGCCCTGGGTCAGGATCTTCTAACAGGAACCAAGAAACTGCTTAAACTGACTGTTCCAAGGAGAGTATCCTAGGGCTACCAGCATTTCGGTGTTCCTCAATGAAATGGCCAAGATCTAACTGATGGGAAAGCTCTCCCGGTCCCCAAGCCCAGACAAGCAATGGAGTTTTTAGTGCTCCACTCTTAAATGTAAATCGTCCCAACAAGGATTACTGGATATTTCAACACAGGCGCCCTTTCTCAGAAAGTTGTTGGAGGATGCACCCCAACCAAATGAGGAAGCGAACCACAAAAGAATACACGATGTACAGGAATCCCCACCGCAGGACAGGTGAAGCTGCTCCCCAGAAACTGTGCCAAGAGGCTGATGGTTAAGAACAGGATGGGCGGGGGGGCTGGGGTTGTGGCTCTGCGGTAGAGAGCCCGCCTAGCACATGCGAGGCCCTGGGTTCGATCGGGGCAGGGAAAAAGAAGGCTTGGGACAGGGAAAAAGAAGGCTCCAGAAGGGATTCCTCCAAGGACTAAGATTTATATAGTCGTCATAGCAACACTGAACAGGAAGGTTGTTTCTCCTTGTGTAAAAGGCATATTAAAATGATTTCCACTTCCACTTTGGATATAGAGAGCCACAAGAGAATGTCACTCCACCGTGACAGTGGAAAAAAGCCGAACAATTTACTGATCCACTGTTGAGCCCTTTGAGGGCTGAGGTCCAGGGCAACCCACCGAGCTGGTTTCTGAGAGTATTTGGAACACAGGTTCAAGGTGGTGCCCAGGTGCCATGGAGAGGAACTCTTTCCCCTTTCTACACTCTGCAGAGAAAGCATAGTTGCCCAAGAGGAGACCAGAAGAAAACAATCCATATCTGGAAGAATTTTTTTTTCCAGAACTGGGGATTGAACCCAGGGATGCTCTATGTCCCCGCTAAAATTGCTGAGGCTGGCTTTGAACTCGCAACCCTCCTGCCTCAGCCTCCCGAGCTGCTGGGTCTTATATTTTTTTAATTTGAGACAAGAGTCTGGCTAAGTAGCCCAGGCTGGCCTCGACCTTGCTATCCTCCTGTCTCAATCTTAATGAATTCTTCATGGCTAGAGTGGCAGCTTAGCATCCCTGAGAGATCCAGATTTCAAAGGAGTTCAGGGCTGGGGCTGTAGCTCAGTGGCAGAGCACTTGCCTAGCACGTGGGAGGCACTGGGTTCGATCCTTAGCACCACATAAAAATAAAATAAAGGCATGCTGTCCATGTACAACTACCAAAAAAACCTTAGTTATACATTTATTAAATACATACATAAATAAATAAAAGGGGTCCAGACCTCCAGACAGTCCCTCCCTCAGTCCTCCCCAGGGAGCTGATGAGACTGATTGGAAGGGGCGGGGCCTGAGAGAGGCCCCATGGTGACAAGGGCATGCAGGACCTGCCAAGGACCCAGGGAGGCGGCAGCAGTGCCGCCTGAGCTCTGGGTCTGCGGAGTTCAAGGTGGTGCCGGTGCCTTGGGGACCTGGCTCTCCTGGGAGACTCCCACACCGGGTCCCTCTCGGGCAAGAACAGAAACTGCCCCGCGCCCACCCTGCATGGATGGTAAGAGCCTCTGGACACTGGCCGGAGCAGGACAGGCATCCTGACTGTCAGGCAGGGGCGGGAGCAGGCCCCCAGCGGCTCAGGACCTCCCACCCATCAGGCCCAGGTGGCTCCCTGGGGTGGGGGACAGGAAGTCTGCCTGCACTCCCGCACCTGCACTGAGTTTGGAGAAAAACAGGAACACTGGCCAGTCCCCCTCCTGGGCTCTCGTCTGAATGTCTAAGACCGAAACTAGAGCAGGAGAACAAGAAGCCGCCGCCCCCACCACAGAACTTGCACCAGGGGACCAGCAACCGCAGACTAAGCTGGGGAAGGAGCTAGAACCCGGACGGAGAGCCCGTCGGTGTCACTTTGTGCAAGCTGAGCACCAAACAGGGACACCGAGAAAAATCCCCGGGGACTCAAGCCCCGGTGCTCAGCACAAAGTAACAGCCATGGTGCGCAGACGGTAACTATGGCAACGAAAAACCTGAATCAACCACAGACTCCATCAACTCAATGCCCTCTACTAAAGCCACAGATACAAAATATGCCCATTTCTAGGAATAAATATGGTTTGACTCACCCACTACTGTCCTCTTATGCACAGTGCCTGGAGGTCAGTCAGGGACTCCGTGGCACATAATAAAACCAAGTAAAAGAAGAGGCCTGGGCTAGCCAGGTGCAGGGCACCCAGCTGTAATCCCAGCTACTGGAGAGGCTGACACAGGACGATCGCCCAAGGCCAGCCTGGGCAACTGGGAGAGACCCTGTCTCAAATAAATAAGGGCAGTGGTGGGATATCCCTGCACTCAGTCCCTAACTCCACTAAAAAATAAAAATAAAAAGGGACCCAGGACTGGGGAGGTAACTCAGTGGTAGAGTGGTTGCTGGCTTAGGCCCTGGTTTCAATCTGCAGCATGAAAAGAAGAAAGAAAGAAAGGAATGAAGGAGGGAAAAGGGGGAGTGAGGGAAGGAAGAAAAAGAAAAGAAAAGAAAGGAAGGAAGAAAAGGAAGCCATTATGGAGACATAAAAGATGTAGTGAGAAAAATGAATTCCAAGAACATACGGGAAATTGTAGGAGGCAATAGAAACTACTAAGGATGGCCAAGTAAAAGTGATGGAAATGAAAACTCCATATCAGCGATGAAGAAATCTTTCAATGGATTTATCAGCAAACCAGACCCAGCCAAGTAAAGCTCAGTAAACCTGAAGATAGAGCAATATAGATTACCCTGGTTGAAACACTGTGTTATTCAGCCTTCCAATACTGTAACAAAATACCTGAGATAAAAACTTATGAAGAGAAAAAGGTTACCTTTGACTCACAGTTTTAGAAGTTAAAAAATCAGAATTAGAAGACATGATGCATTGACTCCATTACTTTGGGCCTGTGGCAAAGCAGCACATCATGGTAGGTGGACGTGACAAGCAAAACTGCTTACATCACGAGTAAGAGATCGAAAGAAAAAAGAAAGGAGGAAAGGATCAAATCCCATAGTCTCCCCTGAGTAGACCCCATCTCTCAAATTTCCATCACCTCCCAGAGCACCACCCTGGATAGAAAGCCCTTAACACAGGGGCTTTGCAGGGGACTTTCAACATGTAAACTGTAACAGACATGAAGAGCAAGAGTGAAAATTAAATATTGACAAAAGTCAATATTCCAATATGTACGTCATTGGAGTCTTGGGAGTAGAGAGGGCAGAGAAGATACAGAAATAGAAACAGAAAAACAATAGAAAAACAACAGAAATAAAAGAGTGACATTGAAGAGATAATGGCTAAAACTTTTCCTAAATTATTAAAAGAACAAACCATAGATCCAAGGAGCTCTGCCAAACCCGGAAGGATGCATCTAAATAAAACACACCCCGTCCCATCATAGACGTGTGGCCGCAAAAGCAAAAAGAAAGAAAATCTTGAAGGGCATCCGGAGAACAAGAACCAGGTGGACCAGGATAAACAGTAAGGACAAGGAAAGACTTCTGATCAAAAACTATACGAGCCAGAAGAAAACGCAGCATATCTTTCGAGAAAAACCCACCATCTTAAAATTTATGCACAGTGAACATATCTTTTAAAAAATGAAAGCCAAATAAGAACTTTTTCAGATGAGCCAGGACTTAGAGAATTCATGGCCAACAAACTTGAACTGAGAGAAATTCCAAAGGAAGTTCCTAGGGTAGAAGGCAAATTATACCCGATGGAAATCTGGACCTACACAAGGAGACGAAAAGTGTTGGATTTGGTAAAAATGTGTTAAATACGAAATAAAATAAAACCCCTTAATTTTTATATCTGTAATAGTGCAGGCATATTGTGGAGATCTTAATAATGTGGAAGAAAAATGGCAAAAAGCGTGAACATGGACTATTCTGTTGTCAGATGCTTATGTTGTATGTTAAGTGTTGCAAGGTTATTTGAAGGTCAGTCGTGGAAAGTTAAATATGTATATGGTAAACCCAAGAGTAACCATTAGAAAAAGAAAACAGTAAGAAAAGATGATAAGACAATCATAGAAATAAAATCATTTAATTTTTCTACATTCTTCTATGTATATGCCTATCTTTTGCCCCGCACAAAAGTCAACTCAAAGTACATCGAAGACCTAAGAAATAGACCAGAAACTTAGCAACTTCTAGAAGAAAACACAGGCTCCACTCTCAAACATATTGGTGCAGACAGTGACTTCCTTAACAAGATCTCTAAAGCTCAGGACACAATGCCAAGAGTTAACAAATTGGAAGGCATCAAATTAAAAAGCTTCTGCACAGCAAAGGAAACTGGAGAATGAAGAGAGAGCCCACAGGATGGAAGAAGATCTTTGCCATCTGCTCCTCTGACAGAGGATTAATGTCCAGAACACACAAAGCACTCAGAAAAACTTAACACCAAAAACAACTAACCCAGTCAATCAATGGGCAAAAAGAACTAAATGGGCATTTAAATACTCACTCTAAAATAAGACAGGGCAAGAAGAAAATGGAACAAAGAATAGGCAGGACAGGAGAAAATAAATAGCAAGATGGTAGGTTAAAACCCAGTCATAGAGACAATTACACTAAATATAAAT